CAACTTGGCACAACACAAAAAAAGTACTCTGTTTAGAAAAGCTACAGCCACTTTATAAAGTATTAAAGAAATGAACAGTTTATAAAAATGGGAGGGGTTTTAATTGGCAGGATAAAACTAAAATCACCCTATTTTGTAGCAAAGAGTTCTCCCCAAGTCATCCTATTATGTAGCAAAGAGTTCTTCCAAAATGTGATGGCCACAGGGGAGGGTTGTGAGGCAGAACCAGGTGGCCTCAGGTGGGCTTCAGAGGGTCAGGGATGTTGGCAGACACCTGCTCCGGGTAGGCCAACAAGCCTTGTGACATCTCAGCTGGCTTTCTGTGAAGCACGCCAGCACCTGTGCAGATGCCTCAGCTTGGTCAGGTGCTTCTGACCAGCACATCCATCTGCTGCAGCTCATCCCTCAGCTCCGAGACATCCGCTTGGACAACTTGCTCTGGCTTCTGAACAGACAACTGCAGTCTCTTTTTTTGCAGGAAGAAACATTATTTTGTCTCTCTTGCAATATCCAGAAATTTCTGGATACAATGATCAACACCAGCTTGAATTTCTTCCTGATTAGTACCTCTGATACAGTGGTAACTCACCAGAGAGGCAAAGCAAGCCTCAAATGATGATTCTACCTCATCCACTAAGGTACAGTCAGAACTTCTTGGCGTGCCTGGAGCAGCCTGAAGAAGTGAAACCTGGCCTAACACTGGCTGTTGCAAGAATTTGGGGGTGGGGGGGAAAGCAGCAGATAGAAAAATCCATGGCTATCTCTAGCTTACACTAAACATACACTCTGTGTGTGTGTGTGTGTGTGTACACATATATACACACACACATCAATGGTTTTAAAATGATGAGGCAAAGAGGATTCTCCCTAAAACCTTCCCTCACCTTCACCTGGGATTTGCAGCCTCCAGTGCTGCAAGATGATAGATTTCTGTCTTTAGGGCATCATGCTGTGGTACACAGCCATGGCAGACCACTGTACCAAGCCAGTCTTTCTTCACCTCCCCAACAGCAACACAGGAGTCATACCTGTACTACTTGTCACAGTTGTACTTTATCATTTGTCTCTCAGTGAAGGAGGAAGCTATTTCCTTCCCTAGTGCCTGGTTTATCATATTAGAAGAGATCATGAGGCTTGGCGTGGTGGCCTAGTAGCTAAAGTCCTCGCCTTGCATGTGCCTGGATCCCATATGGGCGCCGGTTTGTGTCCTGGAAGCTCCACTTCCCATTCATCTCCCTGCTTGTGGCCTTGGAAAGCAGTTGAGGATGACCCAAAGCCTTGAGACCCTGCACCCGTGTGGGAGACCTGGAAGAGGCAGATGGAAGATCTTCCTCTATGTCTCCCGTCCTCTCTGTATATCTGACTTTTCAAATTAAAAAAAAAAAAAAGTTTGTTTTTTTTTTAAAAGAAGAGTTTATAAATGAATAAGTGATTATGGAGCCAGTATCTATCATTATGACTCACTAGTTTTAAAATCTTACTTATTCACTTGAGGTTCAGAGAGTGCTCACAAGCCCACAAAAAAAGAGCTGAATCACACTACAGCCAGGTGCTGGGAATTCAGTCCAGCTTTGCCATGTAGGGGGCAGGAGACAGGAGGCCAGTCACTTGGGCCAGAATCATTGCTGCCCAAGGCCCATATTAGCAGGAAATCAGAGTCAGGACTCAAACTCAGGCATTCCAATTTGAGACACAGGTTTTTTAATCTGTGTCTTAAACCATAAGGCTAACACACCTGCTCCACGTGGCACACCTCTACTCCTAATGTCACACTGCATTTTTCCAGTCTCTGGACGCTTCTCTCAATTCACTAAGTGCATTTTGAGCCTGAGTGATGGAGCTTGGAGGAGCCATAAGCAGCCAACCTGCACCTGTAGCTGGCACACGTGCGTAGATAACACATGCCAGAAGTAGCCTCAACAAACAGGATTGAATTCCCTCGCTCTGATTTCTGGCTCTGCCATCTCTGGACTTCCCCCATGTGTAGCACACAGCTCCACTTCTTCGGAAGCAGCTCTGATGAAGTGGCTTCTTCAATCTCCAGCTCCAGCGCCACACGCACACAGGACACGGAAGCAAGCCTCTCTGCAGAGAAGGTTCTCGCCCTCCCAGTAGGCTTTCACCTAAAAGCAGTCTTCACGTGAGTTGGGGAAATATCTACTTGGCAGGCGGAAACAGAAGTCCAGAGGGCAAAAGCCAGGACTGATGAACTCAATTCAGGTCTCCCGCTTGGAAGCAAAGATCCAATCCTTTGGGCCCTCACAGCTGCTAGCTCCTGCTGCAGACAGGACCCGGAGCTAGGACTGGAACCCAGGGGCTCTACTGTGGGATGGGACATCTTAATCCATGTCATAACTGCTAGGCCAAATGCTTGCCCCATATTAGCTTTTCATGTATGCATTTTCCAAAAACTTTTTTGATGCTTATGGAAAATAAACTCTCAGGTGTCAGCTCACCCTAATACACCCCCAACTGGAATAAACTTTCTTTCCATCTATTAATCTCTAGAGTCCAGACCGTGTATCGCCGTTCAGTTGTCACAATGCCACACCCAAACAATGGATGTTGTTTCGCCTGTTTGTGACACATACATTTCACATCCTCTGGTTTTCAGTTAGTGCTCTGCCTCAGGACTCGGAGCAGTACATGCAGACAACAGGTCGCCTCTACCACTTGCCTTTCTCTCCATTTGTATCTTCGTTACAACCTGGGGCAATCCCTGGGTGACCTTGAGGCCCTCAGGATCTCAAGCTTGAAAACCTTTTACAAAGCAAGCTGAGAACTGGCACAGTGATGCACCAAGTTCAACTGCTATTGGCAATGGCAGCATTCCTTACAAGTCGGGCTGGAGTCCTGGCTGTCCTACTTCTGATTCAGGTCCCTGCTAATGCATCTGGGAAATCAGTGGGAGATGGCCCAAGTCCTTCATCCTCCGCATCCACATGCCACGTCCGATGAAGTTTCAGTCTCCTGGTTTTGACCTGATACCACTACGTCATTGACAAGTTAGGGAATGAACAAATGGATAGAAGATCTCTCTGTGTCTATAGCTCTAACCTTTAAAAATAAAAATATCTAAACTCAGAGGCTTCCCCAAACAGCAGAATAGTTGCTTTCAAGAGGTGCAGTGGGAAGAAAAGGAGCAGGCCTCTGAGGTCATTTGTCTGAAAACTGTATGGGCATAAATTCCACAAACTATTTTGAAATCTGGGCATCTAGCTTCTGGTTACACTCCCCAACAATTCTTTTTTTTTTTTTTTTTAAAGATTTATTTATTATTTATTGGAAAGTCAGATTTACAGAGAGGAGGAGAGACAGAGAGGATCCAGGAACTTCTTCCAGGTATCCCACATGCGGGTGCAGGGTCCCAACTGCTTTGGGCCATCCGCAACTGCTTTCCCAGGCCACAAGCAGGGAGCTGGATGGGAAGTGGAGCTGCCGGGATTAGAACCGGCGTCCATACAGGATCCCGGGGCGTTCAAGGTGAGGACTTTAGCTGCTAGGCCACGTCACCGGGCCCCCTCCCCAACAATTCTTGAGGTTAGTTTTACGCTAAGCATCTTGTCTGGATTTTCTCCTGTAGAGCTTCAATTGTGCTGGTCTCTGCTGATAGGATAAACAAAAACGAAATCAGAAACGAATTTAGTTTTCTGGTTTTCTGAGCGTGGTAGGGGTGCTGACCTGGAAACACAGAGCACGTGCAGGAAGGTGGAGAAAGGAGTGGACTCCGGTGCCACCTGCTGGAACCATCCATTTTTGCAGGCAATGGACGCCCGATAAAAGGACGAAATAACGTTATGGATTCTGTTCTGTGACACTCGGTCAATTTTGAAAACTCCTTCTAAAAAGAACACGGGTAACATAAATTGAATGATTAGTTAGTTATGTAGTAACTTCCCCTACTTTCCCCACTGACCAAAGCAGCTACCGATGTGGGTAACGCATTTAGTCATTTTTAACCCAGGTCTTGTCTCCTTGAGAGAGATGAATACTCAGGAGAAACTGCCCATCAGACGCAAAATTTCCTTGGCAGTCGAGAAATAAACACAGTCATGCGTCAACATGGACTGCCCTACACAGAGAAACACACTGCACGTGTGGGTGCTGTCAATATTCTAGGAAGAAAAGAAAGAACCTGTTGGTTGGGAAAGTCTATCCGAAAACAGGGTGGCAGAACGGAAGAAGCTCCCTCCAGACGCAGCGCCTGTAAGCCAGGTCCAAGGCAGCAGAAGCTCTGCTGAAACCCAGGAAGAATCACTGCGTCAGGCCCAACGAGCGAAACAAAAGGACTCTGGCATCTACCACGCCCTTTCATCGGCATTGCAGCAAGGCCCAGGGTGCAGCAGAAGCATCATAGGAATGCAGGTGTTTTGACCGACAAGCAGCAGGGCCGGGGGTGAGATGGGACAGTGGCTTATGAGCCCTAGACCAAGCCAGCAAAAAAAAAATTAAAAACAATAAGTATTTTTGTTATTTATTATTTGTACTGCAAAGTCAGATATACAGAGGGGAAGATCTTCCATCCAATGATTCATTCCCCAAGCGGCCTCAAGGGCTGGTGCTGAGCCGATCTGAAGCCAGGAGCCAGGAACTTCTTTCCAGGTCTCCCATGTGGGTGCTGGGGACCAAGGCCTTGGGCCATCCTCGACTACTTTCCCAGGTCACAAGCCGGGAGCTGGATGGGATTAGAACCTGCGCCCACATGGGATCCCAGGTGTGTAAGGCAAGGAAGGTTATTGCGCCTCCGGCCAACAGTCGTACTTCCTCCCCTCTAACTCACTCTCCATGTAAACTCTGCCATTTAGTAAACACGCCAGTATTTTACACAAAAACAGTTCCTTGGTCTAAAAAGTGGAAAAGCAGCTCCTGTGCAAAGCTGACCTCCGTGAGGAGAGAGCGCAGGCAAGCAGGAACACACACTTCCAGAAACTTCCCACATCAGCTGATCGGGAGCCAATCAGAAACAAGAAGAGGCGCGAGGGGCGGAGGCTGCGACCAAGATGGCGGCAACGGCTGTGGTGGCAAGTCGGCAGCAGTCCGGCACAGACGAGGGGTCAGTCGCTCGGCCCAGCACGGACATGGGGCTAGTCCAGCTCCCCGCTTGGCCCAGCACGGACTTGGGGTCATTCTGGCTCCCTTCTCGGCCCAGCACGGACTTGGGGTCAGTCTGGCTCCCCGCTCAGCCCAGCACGGACGTGGGGTCAGTCCAGCTCCCCGCTTGGCCCAGCTCGGGCATGGGGTCAGTCCGGCTCCCCGCTCGGCCCAGCACGGACGCGGGGTCAGTGGCTCTGCCCAGCACGGACATGGGGTCAGTCCAGCTTCCCGCTCAGCCCAGCACGGGCTTGGGGTCAGTCCAGCTCCCCGCTCGGCCCAGCTCGGGCATGGGGTCAGTCCGGCTCCCCGCTCTCAGGTGGTCACCGTGGCTGCCGTTGTTACTGTTGCTGCTCGTGGTGGTGATGGTGGCGGGGGCCGAGCGGCAGGTGCCACTGGTGCTGTGGTCAAGTGACCGGGCCTTGTGGGGGCCCGCGGCCGACACCCACGAGGGCCACGTCACCAGCGCTGTGCAGCTGTGGGCTTACTTAGAGCCCGCGCTGGAGCGGGGTCCCCGGCATGTGCTGCTGTTCGTGCAGGACGAGCTGAGCGTGGAGGATTTTACAGCCCACGGCGCAGTGTTTGGAAACAAGCAGGACAGTGCCTTTTTTAACCTGGAGACAGCCCTGGGCCTGGCCTCCTCCTCACTGGTGCTTCCTGCTGTGGCCTGCTCTGCAGTCCGCACTCTGGCCACCTACCTGCAGGAGAAGCTTAGGACCAGAGCTCTGCACGTGGCCATGGCCACCTTGTGGGAGCTGAAGCTCAATGTCAGCCTTCCCACCCTGCTGCTCATCCGGCTGCCCTACGCTGCCAGTTCTGGTCTGGTGACACCCAGGGAAGTCCTCAGAGGCAATGATGACATCATCGGGCAGGTGCTGGACGCACTCAAGTCTAAGGAGATGCCCTATACGGCAGCCTTCACAGCGCTCCGCCCCTCCAGGGTGGCCCGTGATGTAGCCATGGTGGTTGGGGGTCGGAGACGCCAGCCTCGACCGAAGAAGCCAGCCTCACCTGTGATCCATCCCCCTGTAAGTTACATGGACACTGCTATCCGAATCCTCTTCTGGGCCCAGAACTTCTCTGTGGCCTACAAGGACCAGTGGGAAGACCTGACACCCCTCACCTTTGGGGTGCAGGAGCTCAACCTGACAGACTCTTTCTGGAATGACTCCATGGCCAGGCTCTCCTTGACCTATGAACAACTGTTCGGTATGATGGTGACATTTAAGTTTATTCTGGCTAATCGCTTCTATCCGGTGTCTGCCCGGTACTGGTTTACCTTGGAGTGCCTGGAGATCCACAGCAACGGCTCGGTCGTTTACTTCAACGCTTCCCAGGTCACAGGGCCCAGCGTCTACTCCTTCCACTGCGAGTATGTGAGCAGTCTGAGCCGCCGTGGCAGTCTCCTGGTGGCCCGCACGCAGCCCTCACTGTGGCACGTGACTTTTCAGGACTTCCAGATTCAGGCTTTCAACGTGACAGGTGAGCAGTTCTCCTACGCCAGTGACTGCGCTGGCTTTTTCTCTCCAGGCATCTGGATGGGGCTGGTCACCTCCCTTTTCATGCTGTTCATCTTCACCTATGGCCTGCATATGCTCCTCAGCCTCAAGACCATGGACCGCTTTGATGACCACAAAGGCCCTGCCATCTCTTTGACCCAGATTGTGTGATATTGTGTCAGTGGGGATTGTGGTCGTGATGGTGTGCAAGTTGTTAGCTTTCCCACCTTGCGGCATACGAGACCCCAGGGGCCACCCTCCTGCGGCCGTGGCATGAGCCTCCGTGTCTCCTTGGATTGACTCCTTTAGATCTGACAGGCTTCCCTGAGCAGCTGAGGGGCTTCCCGGAGGCTGCCCCTCATCTCTACCCACAATTGTAGCTATTTTTGCGTAGATTTTAAGGCCCAGGTTCAACCAAAGTGAAAGGTAGGGGTCATTAGACCTTTTCCCTTTTTTTTGTTCTTGGTTATCTACCAATGAGCTTCACTGTTTATTGCACTTTTGCGTGGCAGTTTCTCACTCCCCATGCTTCATTGGACTGGCTGCAGCAACCACAGGTTTCAGGTGCCCTGAGTTTGCTGGGACGTGGAGTTAACAGCTGACACTTGACTGTCGTTATTGTGTCTTGGTGATGTTGTGCTAACAGTAACCAGTGGCTTGAGCAGGTTGAAGCCTCCACGAGAGCTGGGCTGGGTATGATGGCTGGATGTCTGGAATATCCCTAACCACATGACTCCTGTGGCCTGCGTAGGATTCGTGCTTCATGGGAGTCAGGTGCACTCTGTTGTTTCTTTCTTAGTAGAATAAAAGGTGGATCACCAAAAAGGAGAGAAAAACTGGCAGCTGCATATACTCACAAGACTTTCTGTGCTGCAGTCTGGGGTCAGAGCCCAGCACATCTGGGCACCCGGGATGGGGCAAGGGCCTCACTGGGAAAGTTGCGTGTGTGAAACCTGATCTACAAAGGCTCACGGCCTCATATCCTCACCCAACAGCAAAGACAGCCAGGCTTTTTTTTTTTTCTCTTTTTTGCTTGCATTTTCCTTCAGATTAATTTTCGGTGGTATCTTTGTAGGGCACTAATCAGTCATTTTTCTCCACCAGAACACTCTCACCTCATTTTTGTATTTTCTACTCAGTGTTGGATACAGTGCAGTGCTTTTCAGAAGCTGTCATCTCTGTCCTTCCTGTCTTGTATAACGTAGGTGCAAAGGGGCTGCTCTTAATGCCCCACCCCAGGAGACCCTGGGACTCAACAGGTCAGCCCCTCCAGGTCCCATGCCAGGCTGTCAGTCACTGCATGGTGACTTGTTGACCACAGGACGAGAGGTGGGCATAAATGACCACCTTGCAAAGTGTGAAATGGTCACTGTTGTGATTTAGATATCGTTTGAAGCTGGATGTAAGGTTCTGCAGCTTGGTGGGGTGGAGATGGTGGAACCTTTAAATGGTGGGCAGAGTGGCAAGGCATTTGGCTACCAGGAGCATTGGCCTCAGAGGGCATGGATGTTGGCCTCCAGGAATGAGTTTCTGTGAGAATGGGTTGTTATAAAGAGAAGTTGATGCTTGGGTCCTGCCTCATTAGATGATCTGTCCATCTCACTCATGCTGCCCCTTGGATGCCACTGCCATGTGACAGCCCTGGTGCCTCACCAGAGCCCCAACAGACAGCACTGCCCCATCTTGGCAGTCGCACCAGCTAGACCTTCAGAGATCCTGTAAGGCAATTGTGGAAGGTCCAGAAACCTCCCTGCCATGGGCTGTGGTTCTATCCAGTTGTGTCTTTTTGTTTGTTTGTTTTTTTGTTCTCTCCTTATGAATAAATAGTCTTTGCTTGCAAGTTCTCGGCCCGCCTCTGCCTTTGTTCACAGGGAAGAAGCTGAGGGGGCTGTCTGTGTTGAGGTCTGCTGAATACATTCTGTGGGTGGCCGCCAGACCAGATGTCCCGAGTTGTCTTCCAGATCCATGGGGCTTCCTCCAGGGCCACCGTGGCACTTTGCTGCAGACGGTGCTTTGGGAAGACAGTGAAGTACTCTGAGCTGGGAGGAAGGAAGTGCCGGAGGTCTCTAGGAATGTAATGCTGCTACTTTACCATCTTTGGGATTGCAACAGATGCATGCATTTTAAATTAACATGAAAGCATGTCTAGTTTTGCAACAAAACCATACATGTCTAGGGCAGGCAAGAAGCTATATTTATGCAAGCAAAATGATTAACTATAACCACATGACTAAGTGGGAACTGATGAATGGGAAGCCTGATTGTTTGCTCATACTTGCAGGGAGTTCACGTAGGGCATGCCTCACCGTCTGTGAAATTCTTTCCCAGTGCAAATCTATACATGATGCTTCCAATATTCATCTTTGTGTAATGGGCAATTTTGCCCAAATCATGACAGGCTGAGTTGTTACCACCAGGGTCTCCCATTTCACTGTAATGGTTTCTTACTCTTAGTTCACAGACAGTGAATATAATCTTCGCAGCTATTTTTAGTACCATGCACAGAAATTTTGGAATGCCCAAGACATGAGCCTAGTTAATTTACAGGTCCTTAATGGCTGGGAGGAGGAGGATGAAAGGACAGCAAACACATCTCCAGTGTTTAATGGGCCAGAAATTGTTTGAAGCACTTTGCAGGCATTAACTTGATCCTTATTACAACCCTAACAAGTGAGGAAGCTGAAGCAGAAGGGTTAAGTCATTCTCCCAAGATTGCACCAGAACTAATTAGCAGAGGCTGGATTTGAACCCAGGCAGTTTGCCTGCTGCACAGTCCAGTCGAAACATCTTTTATCTTGTCCTTCCTGTTTTCACTTTTGTTTTCCCTGGCAGTTAGCACTTTTGATTATTGCTAATTCCCACATGCACTCCCCTGTTAACCTGCCTTGTGGGCCTATCTTTAAGGGTCTCACAGCCTCTAGGCCCCTTTTCTTGAAAGCTCTCTCTTTTGGTAACTTCTCACTCGCTCTTTTGGAATGACCCCTGCCATCTCTGGCCCTGCCAAGTGGTTTTATCCAGGATGATCCACCAGCAGAGAGGCAGAGAAGCCATAGCTCCTCGTCTGACAGGAATCAGGGAGATCATGGACTAGTTGGAAAGTCATTGAAATTTGCTGAGGCCTGTGTCTTGCTTTGGGAGGACACAGTGTAGAAGGGAAAGGCAGTTGTGAAAGTCTGGTAACTCGAGGAGACAGTTTGGATCAGAGCTACTTTCCAATCAACAGACTATTATCGACTCATTTTACTTCTTGATGATGTTGATTTTCTTTGTATTTAAGATTTTTATTGGACAATCAGATATACAAAGAGGATGAGAGTCAAGGAAGGTCTTCTGTACATTGATTCACTCCCCAAGCTGTTGCAATGGCCAGAGCTGAGCCAATCTGAAGCCAGGAGCTTAGAGCCTCTTCTGGGTCTCCCATACGGGTGCAGGGTCCTAAGACTTTGGGTTCTCCTCAACTGCTTTTCTAGATCACAAGCAGGGAGCTGAAAGGGAAGCAGAGCTGCTGGGATTAGAACCAGTACCCATATGGGATTGCGGCATGCTCAAGATGAGGACTTTAGGCGCTAGACAACCGCACCGGACCTGATGATGTTGCTTTTCTTTCAGATCCATTGTCCTGTATCACCCTCTGCTCTGAGTTCAGGCTGGGCTCTCCACCTTTCTGAATTCCTACTACAAAGAGCCTTGAAGAGCACAAACCAAGGGCTGTAAGGGGTATCCATCTTCTACCTACCATCTCACTAAGATGCAGGCTTTGCTTACATAAAGAAAGAAATGGGAACAAGTTGAAAATGTCAATTTTCATAATAGTTGAGCTTCAAAATCTATGTAGCCAAAATTTATGGAACTGAAAGGATAGAGAAATAGAGCTGGGCCCGTTGCAATGGCTCAACCGGCTAATCCTCCCCCTGCAAGTGCTGGAATCCCATAAGGGTGCTGCTTTGCATCCCGGCTGCTCCACTTTCCATCCAGCTCCCTGCTTGTGGTCTGGGAAAGCAGTGGAGGATGGCCCGAAGTCTTGGGACCCTGCACCCGTGTGGGAGACCTGGAAGAAGCTCCTGGCTCCTGGCTTCAGATTGGCTCAGCTGTTACAGATGTTACAGATATTTGGGAAGTGAACCAGCAGATGGAAGATCTTTCTCTCTGTCTCTCCTTCTCTCTGTGACTCTGATTTTCCAATAAAAATAAATAAATCTTAAAAAAATAAAAATAAAAAAATAATTAAATCCTAAAAAAAAAAATAGTTAGAGCTACAGAGTGATAATTGGAAGAATAAGTAAAAAATTAGATACAGAAAATTTGAACAACAGTACTAGCACCTCATTTGTAGAACATGCCATCCAGAATAATGAGCATATTTTTGAGAACATATGGAATATTCAAAGCAGATCCTATTCTAGGTCCTAAATACATTTTCAGGGAGTGTCACGATGGATCAATTTTCTATTTTCTAAATTTTCAAGGAGTTCAAGAGAGCTGTAAAGTCTTACTCAGTATGTGTGCTAATCACAAGGGAATTAAACTTGAAACAAGTAATAGAAAGATATCTCGAGTATCTTAGGAAATGAAGCACATAACTCTAAATAAGCTGTATGCCAAAAAGAAATCACAAAGGAAAGTATTTCCAGTTAAATGAAAATGAAAATACAACACATCAGAATTTGATGGATACTCCAACACTTACAGAGAATACAGCTAAAGCTATCATAAACTGTTGTTTCAGAAAAGAAATCTCAGGGCAAGTGTTTAGCTTAGTGGTTAAGCTGCTTGTGTCCCGTGTAGGTTATGCTGCACTGCAGGCCCTGACTCCTGCTTTCTACTAATGCAATCCCAGGAAGCAGTGGGGGTAGCTAAAGTAATCGGGGTCCTGTCTCTCTCATGGGAGGTTTGGGTTACGATTCCATCTCATGCCTCTAACCTTTGGCCTAGCCCTGGCAATTGTGGTAATTTGAGGAATGAGCCAGTAGACAGTGGATTCTCTCTCTCTTTACATCTCAAGTAGATAAAATTGTTTTAAAATAAGGATAATAAAAGTTGAGATATGTAAAAATAACTAAAACCATTAGATCGAGTAGTTAAGACATTAGCTGGGATGCCCACACCCTTACAGAAGTAACCGGGTACTGGTTCCTCTTCTCCTGCTAGTCTCCTGCTCATGTGCACCCTGA